CGCCTCTGCAGCCACGGCCTGTGTGGCCCGGTCCCTGGTCTTCCCCGGCGCATGCGATGGCAAGGCCCAGCCTGGCAGCTGTGGGCCCGGGAAGGGCGTCGTTCTGCACCTGAGGGCGAGATCACATCCCCGATGGACTTCGGGTAACTTTCCCAGAGTTCTGGGGAATCCCGTAACCCGGGGAGCTGCAGACGACTCACTGGCCCCGGGCCGCGGTTCCGCGGGTGGCGGCTGTACGCTTGGGACACCTGGTCCGCAGAAGTGAGGTGCACGTCTGTGAACCTTCGTGCGTTGGATGTGCATGGAGGCGAGATCATGGTTATGGGTGTCTGGGATCACGGGAGCGTGAACGGGGCGATCGACTGAGTGGCTTGAGAGACGGGGTAGAGCGCAGGAAGGACCCCCTAGAACAGGCCCACCTGCGACAGAGGGGCGGGGCTTGCCGGCGCGCTCACAGGCTCTGGGTTCGCGTTCGGAGACGCTTTCGCTGGGAGCGGGTCGGGATTTCCTGGAGCAGCGTGGTTAAGGCGTGCCACAATCCGGGCTCCCGTTGTGCCGCCTCCGCCCTCCCCATCCCTGCTAAGGGGCACCTGGCCTGGCTGTCAACTTCCCCTGGAACCATGGGTTTGCCTTGTGGATCCGCAGCTTCCTCTCTGCCTGCTTCCGCTCTGTCGCGCCCCCGGGAAGGGCATGCTGCTCTCTCCCCTCTACTCCCTCCTTTACACATGAGGACCCTGAACCCCAGAGGTGCAGTCATGTACCCAAGGCCACGTACCTGCCGGTGGCAGAGCTGGGATGGGACCCTGGGACCTTAAAGAGAGCAAGTCCAAACCCACTCCTAAGAAGCCGGTGCTGCTGAGCTGCCTACCCTTGCTCCTACAGCAAGGTGATCCTGAGATGCCAGGGCTGCCACCCTCCCCTGGGCTCTTGCTCTGAATTCGAGACATACAGGATGCACTGTCCCTTTGCCTCTAGAGCCTCCAGTTCTAGGTCTGCAGTGAGGGGGCTGCCTTCCAACTACACAGGGGCAAGGGAGCAGCTGCAAATTCAGTCAGCCCGGGCAGGAAGCCTGATGGAGTCTGCATGGGGGTCAGCAGGGTCAGCGTCCTGGATGGGATAGGGGCACAGGACAAGGAGGTCAGCTCGGATTTGGGTCCCTCTAAGGGAACTGGCCAGGGTGTTAAGCAGCCAGGTGCAGACAGGGATCAGCTCACTAGGCGTGTGACTTTGTGACCTTGGGCAAGGCCCTGCCCTTCTCTGGGGCTCAGGCTTGCTTGTCATCTGCAAAAAATGAGGATCGAACAGAACTCTCAGGTACCTTCTAGTTTCATGAGTCCCTGAATTGTGAAAATAAAAAATTATCACTGAGAAACCATATCCACTTCCAGACTGGTGGCTGCCTGGCCTGGCCTCTGCTCGTTTACAGAGGGGCTGGCCCTGATGTTGGAGCTTGTGTGCTTGAATTGGCCTCAGGCCTCCGGGCCTTTTCTCATCCCAGACAGTACTCTCGCTCCTTCAGTTGCCACGCTGGCTCCCACCAGCCTCTTTCCAGATCATGAAGATATTTGTCCTTCATCAAATTGGAAGTCCGTAGTAAAGCTGCCTGTTGACCAGGTAGTGCTGAGAGGATCGGGAGGTCACATGGATTCCTAAAGGTCCCCTGATCCAGCCACAGTTTGATTCATGTTCTGATGCCCTCCCAGGTGATGCCACCATGAGGTCTGCTGGGGCTGGGGGAGAGTCCCAGATTGCCCTGGATGTTATCTGTAGAGGATAGGAAGCGGCTGCTCTGGGGCCAGTGGCCAGTGAGGTCCCCCACCCTGGGGCCCAGCTCTCACTTCCAGCTGATTACAGGCTATGGCAGGCTTCATAACCTCCCCAATTAGCCGGAGGCCAGGCCCAGGGCCTTTCTGATAACCTGAGCTCCAGTGGCAGCCGCTGTGGGGCCAGCTTATCTGGTCTCTCTTATCCTCACCCTTCCCCCACATACTCAAAGAGTTGCCCTGGCTTCAAGCAGATGAATAACCAGATTGTCCTGCAAGCTCAGCCGGCAAGTCCAGCCCTACACCCACCACTTTCCCTGCCTGGGGGAGGCCACAGCTGTTTTGCCCCGCTGGAGGGGAAGGGCCAGGCCAGGGAGGACTCCTGACTCTGTAAGCTGCCAGCCAGTTCCCTGAATGGCTGAGAGAGCCCCTGGCAGCAAGGTCTCTGCCACATTCATGTGTCCTGGGGTAGTTTCAGAGGGGCTCATGCTTCCTAGGGCAGCTGAAGCCATCCCTAGGAAGACAGGCCATGGGCAGCATGCACAGGTAGCCTGGTAGCACGCTCCTCCTCATCCCCATGACTGAAACATGGCTGTAGCTGGGGGTAGGGGCAGTGCCAGGCCCATCAATAATTCAGCAAGATGGGGAAAAGCTGCAGCTCCTCCAGCACCCCCTACTGTTGGGGCCAGGCTAGTGTTCCCGGCATGCCTCAGTCTGGCATGTGACCTCTTCCCTGCAGGTGCCCAGGCAGGAGGGACTGGCTTATGCCACCCCATGCAGGATCATCTTTTTAGCTTACAGAGCCTAGTATGATTCAACAACCCTCCACCTCTGCCCTCAACATGCCCAACTGATCTGGTGAAGGGTACTGAAGACGAAGGCCTCTCAGGCACCATGGATGGGATGGGTGTGTGTGAGGCGGGCAGAGTCCCCAGGAGCTGCCCCAGCTCTGGCTGGACAGTTGCATGGGAAGGCCTGTTTGTGAACTCAACTTTTCTGTGGCTGTTCCATTAAACTTCACCCAAACCACACCTGGCTCTGTGGGTTTCCTTCCATTCTTCAAGGCCTCCCTGGGGTCTCTGGGAAGTGTGGGCCAGGGAAGGGGACAAAGGACTAGCATTCGTCTCCTTCCTGCTCAGTGCACCATTTGTTCTCCCTGTTCTTGTTTCCTTGTTGCCACTGACTTTAGGTCCAGAAGTGGTGGTGGTGGGGCAGGGGGACAAAATCAGGAACTTGTCATCTGAAGGTTCCAGCCAGGTTTCATGAGATACCCACCTTCACCTGACCACCCTTCCATCTTCTGAGTTTAAAAAGAGAAGCAATTACAAGGTACCCCCCAGGTAAGGCTTTGCCAGACTCTCCCCCCAACAACAACCCACCAGCACATGGCAAGCCCTGATCCCCAGGGAGGAGGGTCCAACCCTGTGGCACCCCAAGAACTCACTACCTCTGGTAACAGGCAAGATGCTTAGAGAATGGACTTAAATCAAGATGCTTGGAGAATGGGCTTAAATCAGGCCCCATCCAAATTCCAGGACAAAAGTTCTTCCTATTCCAACCCTCCACTGACTCCTTCTGCCCCCAAGCTGCACATGAAAGGGGGTGTTGGGATCCTGGGCACTCAGGCCAAAGGACTCTGCTCAGCGTTTGGAGAGGACCCTGACCCCAGCAACTCAGGGATAGACACCAATTGCAGCGTGATTTATTGGACAAGACGTGCACTTTTTGACAGGGCCTCAGTAACCACGGTTTCCTTCACTGATCAGTACAGGACCAGGGTAAAGGGGCTTAAAGATAAGAAAGACAAACTCTTCCCATGAACAGATGGGGAAAGAAAGGAGGAAGAAGAGGCGTCTCCTCCCTTCCTCCTTCCTTAGTACTCTGGGCCTCTGTTCACCCTGTGCTGGAGTGGGGCTGACCAGGGGAAGTTGGGCGCAGCGTGTCACAGACAGACGTGAGCTGAGGCTGTGACTATCCACTCAGGGTCAAGATGGCCAGGTGGACCATCAACTCTGTCCCCACTCAGGCCCCCAGATCTGGTCACTGTTCCAGGCCCCCCTCCCCGCCCCACCGTGGGTATGGTTAAAAAATACAAAAGCGGATCCAATGCAGGATGTCATATGCAAACATACACAGGGACCGAGCTTCTGCAGTCTCTCCTGGCCACAGCCTCCACCGACAGGTGTGGCAGAGGGCAGGTGCGCCGAGGTGCTTGGAGAAGGGTCTCTTCTCCATCCAGGTAGGATGGGTGGCTGCTGTCACTAAGCTTGGGGAAGGTGGTTGATGAAGGAGGAGCAGAAACTGGAGGGTAGGACCAGAGCGGGGCTTCTCCCCTCCTCCGGCAGGGGAGGGGGCTGGCCAGTCAGAAGCAGATTGCTGGTACCTACGGGAAGCCAGTCGGGAAGAGGCTGAGGGGCTGGCTCTCATTGGTGGGCAGCGGAGATCGGTAGCCATCAAAGTTTCTTGGTATGCTGCCACTGGTGGAGCCTGAGCTGTTACTCAGAGTCTCGATGCTTCCCTCTCGCTGAAGTTCTGCAAGACACAGGAGAGGGCCAGGCCTGGTTAGAGTTGGGCCTGGGGAGTGGGGGCACCATCTGGGCCAGGCTGCCTGCCTTGAGGCACCATTCTGGGTTCACTTGTGTCCTTCCACAGGCGGATCCCCACTGCTCCCTGGATGGGCAGGGGGCAGCTCAGGTCACAGGAAGGCTCAGCCAGGGGAGGGAAAGCCCCCTGGCTGGCAGACTCCAGTGTGAGAGCACGGTCTCCCTATTGCGGGAAGCCCTTTAGGCCCAAAGCACGGCCACCCTGACAATGTGTGTGGACGACACAGCTCTTCACGGGGCCTGTACCCGCACCTGCACACACTCATGCTCAGCCAGCATGCCCCCAACTCCACAGTGCCTCCTGTCCTGGCTCTACAGGGGAGGCAGGTGGGGAGAAGCCAGGACACCAGAGGTCCTGCAGCGCCCCTGCCTGATCTGTCCCCACCTCTCTCCTACCCTGCCTGTGCCTGGAGCTTCTGCCTGGCTTTGCCACTCACTCGTTCACTCATGCTCACCCACACAGTCCGCCTGATGGCCAGGTCTTGGCTCATCTTTGGCACCTCCTGGCAAGTGTCCTGTTTCCCTGGGAGAGGATGCCTGGTTTAAGCGGGGCCTTCTCCAGTGAAGAGAGGGCCCCTGTTTGCCTGAGGTGCCTCCTTTCTCCTTTCCTCTTGGGCCCCAAGTCTCCTGGATGCCCCTCAGCATCAACCTGAAGGGCAGGCAGGGAGTCCTGCCCTCCTCCTCCTCTGCCTCCTTGGCCCTGCACATCCATATTGGCCCTGCACGCCATCTCAGATATGGCAGCTCGACCCATCTCATTCAGCTATGGGCCCCTCAACTGTCCTACCATCTCTGGACCCAAGTCAGGTCCTGGGGTAGGTGGATTGGGAACGGAATTCCCTGCTTGCTGAGTGTAAGGAAGAACCAATGACTTCTTGGCTTTCTGAAGGTGGCCAGTTCCGATTCCCTTTCAGGCTCCCCCGGGGGCTCTGACATGTGGGCACAGACATACTGGGCAGTCTCTGGTGTCTGCCCCAAGCCAAGATATGTAGACCTGCAACCTTCTCCAAGGAATGCCTGCCTGTGACTGAGGGGGTCTGGCCTGTCCACCCAGGAGTGCAGGACTTCAAAGCAGTCATTTGAAAAAGCAAGATGTGCACAAACGTTGCACTCATCTGGTCTGGCTTGAGACCTTGGTCTTCAGCCTGCAACCGCTCCCAGGCCTCCTGCCACCACACGCGCAGTACAGCTGGCTCTGGTTAGGGAATGAAGGGGTCACGGCCTTCACTCCTGGGCCGGCCAGCACCAGCCAGCCAGGAACGAGCCACTGACCCCCACTCTCTGCAGGCCTGCAGCGGCCACAGAGTGGAGTGGGGAGGAGGCAGGCACCTGGGCCTTGTCGGGGGAGGGGCCCTTGGGATCCATCAGCCGCGTCTGTGGCCTGGGTCTCGGTGGGACAGTTCATTGGGACACCAGGGCCTCTTGGCAAATTGCGGAAAGTAGGGGGATGGGACTGTGGACAGGGGCCGAGGGCCTGACTATGGACCCTGACCTCCAAGGGACATTGGCTGCCTGGGAAAGTCAAGAGCTATCTGGATACAGATAGAAAACAAGGCAGGTAGGATCTTTTTTTCCTGGTCCTTCTTCAGTATCACCGTAATTTGGGGTGACAGGCCATCGTGCTATGAGATGGAGAGGGTGGTAAAGCCAAGAGTAGACCCTGGGGATTCTACGTGGAAGCTCCAGATTCCAAGAGTCCCCTCTGTTGCCTTCTTTCCCCACAAGCAAGCCGAGTTGTGGGCGATCTCTGAGGTACCACCGCCCTCATGCGCGGCCGGCCCGGCACTAGGGGGCGCTGACAGCAGGGCCAGGCGGGCGGGAGAAGAGCACCGGCAGGAGCAAGAAAAGCAGGGGCTTCCTTAGGATCGGGCCGCCAGGCCTAAGGAAGAAGGCCCCCGAGGAAGAAGCAGGCAGGGCCACCAGGATGGGGAAGGCTGGCCCCTTTTTACAGCTCAGGGACAGCTTCAACAGCCTTGATGCAAAATGCCTCTATGTCCACACTGCCAAGGAAGCCAGGAAACGGGAGCCCAGGCCCAGGCATGGCACCCCCACCGTCCCCTGGCATAGGCCCCCAGCAAATACCCCAGCAGCTTCGGTGGTCCCACCAATCAGTCTTCATGGACGCACCCCAGCCCATCACACCACAGTGCAGGGAAAGCCGCCCAGGGGCTTACAAGATGAATGTGCTGTTCTTGGGGGCCAGGGACTGCCCGAGTGCCTTGTTCGAACTTTCCCTTTGTCAGTTAGGCCTGGGTAAGATGGATGGGGGCAGCGTTCCTCCCTCGCCCCTGCATCCCAGGGTAACCAAGGCTCTGCTGAACTTCTCCCTCCTCTGCCTCTGCCCTGGCTAAGCCTGCACTGTGCGCCTCGGTCTCCTGACTCCAGGTCACCCGCCCTGCGCCAAAGCCAGAGTGGGCTGTCTACAGCACGGCCCTCATCTTGCTTTTCCTCTGCGTAAAAGCCTTCAACCACTCCTAACAGTTCCCAGGGCAAGCTCTGAACTCCCCAGCACTATGAAATGGCCTTCCCATGACCTGCTGCCAACCCCTCACTAGTGGTACCCGTTATTATGTCTGAGACATGAAAGTGATGAAGCTGTGTGGTGTTTGGACCCATCCAGGTGGTTCTAGGCCTCCGGGCCTGTGCTCATGTAAATTGCTCTAAAAAGCCCTACACTGGCTCCCTGGGCCCCAGAACACCTACTCATCTTCCAAAGCTTAGCACCAGTATCCGCTCCTCTGTGAGCCCGTCCTGCCCCCCGACAGAGCCTGCCAGACCCCACCCTGCGCTATGCTGACTCCTAGCCCAGGCCCCCTCACCCTCCCATGTGTCTCCTCATCTAGAGGAGACCCCCTCAGGGGGGTTCTGTGCCTTATCTCTGTATCCCTAGTGGCCTGGAAAATCATGGGTGCCCTAAACATTTCTAGCATGAATGAATGAATGAATGAATAAAAGATGTGGCAAGGGGAGGTGGGGGCCCATTCTTCAACACAGACTAACAGTGAAAGAAACGGTGGCTTGCTGGCCCCAGGGCAGCTTTGTGGGTGCTTTTCTCCATGCCTCCTCTCAGACCCCTTCTGTTCCTCCCCCTGCAGGCAGGGGTGTGTGTGGGAAGTGGAGGGGAGGAAGGCTGCTCAGATTCCCCACTCCAAGTCATCCCGGCCGCCCAGCCCTAGGAGCAAGCGGCAAACGGAAATGTGTGGCCTTACCTTCCTCCATCCCGAACGCATGCTTTGTTACTGTTGGGTTGCTCACGGACGCTGGGCTGTTGGCATTGTTTTTTTTTTCCTTTTTTTTTCCCTTTTGAAAAGAAAAGCATTGAGGAATCTTTTTGGAAAAGATATGGACAACGATTGAGAAGTACACTGATCTCTGCAAGCAGGTGGAGAGGTGTCAGGAGGTGCGGGGGCACACCGTGAGGAG